CTCTTCCCTTGCTTGGCTGTCTCTTTCTCGTGCTTCAGGTCTTGGCTCCAATCTCACCTCTTCGGAGAGGTCTTTTCTGAAATCCCTGGCTCACCCCTTTCATGGTCAATACTTCTCTTGATTTGGACTTAGTCGGGTTCTGACATGCGATAGTTTCATAAAAATGACTGGGGCGATTCCCATTGTTTGCGAAGGTCTGAGTTAGTTTAAATAACATTGCACTTGCCTCTTCCTTGAGGTTTGATAAAAGAACCTTTAAGACCATCTGGTCCTGTTGTCCTTTTTTTTTTTTTTTTTTTTTCCTGTTGTCCTTTTAATGGTAGGTCTCGTGTCACTTTTCTAATCTTCTATGGTCATTGGTCTACTTAAACTTTCTACTTCCTTTGTGGTCAGCTTATTACAGTGGTTGGCACATGGTTGATACTTCATACTGGCTAAGTATGAGGATGTGAAGAAAAAGGGAGGGAGGTGCTGGACCCTCGGCTTCAAATGCCCACCCCCTGCCCATCTGCTCAGGCCCCCATCCAGCCTGTCCACCAAGGCCCAACTACATGCTTCCTCCTCTGAGATGCCTTCTTGGGTTTCTCCTGACCCTCCTTCGCTGCTCCATTCCCAGGTCAATGGGTCCATTTCTCTGCTTCTCTGCTGGGCAGATGTTACAAGCTCTCTGCTTTCTGGCGGGATATCTTTTGGGGGGTGGGGGTGGGGAATGTGTGCACAGAAGAGGCCTCCCCCCTCGTGCCTGGCACATTCAGCATGTGCTGCCACCTCCCCCCAGCAGTTCCGATCACGCCAACATCTGGAGACCAAGCCACCGGGTCTGTCTGCGGCTCAGTGGGGATTTGCATGTGAGTACAAATATATATGCACACCCTGGGCCTTCCGCCTCCGCATTCCTTGGCTGGCCCTTCACACCTGGGCTTGAGACAGGTCAACGCTGAGTGACTGGATTTGCATGCCCATGTATTTCTGGGTAGGGAGTCAGCTGGGGGAGTCTGAGAGGAAGTTGTTGAGGGAAGCTGTGGGGAGTTCAGAGTCTCTCTTGACCTGCTCCATTCACTAAATCTGGTTATGAGGGGCTTCCAGTCTGAGGGAGACAGAGCCGGATATACGTACCCCTAGCTCCATGGGGTCAAAACTGGAGGGAAACTTCGGGAGCTGTAGGAATCCAGAGTGAGGGCAGGGAGGGCTTCGTGGAGGAATAAATGTTTTGAGCTGGGTTTTGAAGTGTGAATAGGAGTTGGCCAAGTGAAAAAAGGGCTTTCCAAGCAGAGTCATTTCATTGAAGGTAGATTAAGATGGGCAGGGGTTGATTGGGGCAGGGCCTCAAATGCCAGGCTGGGGACTAGAACTTTCCCCTGAGGGCGGAGGGGAGCCACGGAGAGTGTGTGAGCAGGAAGGGGTATGATCAGAGCTGTGTGTTGGGTAGATCCCTTAAGGGCCAGAATGGAGATGACTTTGGTTCTTGGGTGAGGATTGGGGGTTTCAGGATCACAAGACTCAGAAGAGTCAAAGCCCTGCATAAGCCCACCGGCATCTGTCAGGCCTGGCCCCAGAGAGGCCATAGGGTCTGGTGGCATCCGGAGGAACCAAAGACCCCTGGAGCACAGTGACTTAAAGCGTATGATGCCAGCCTAGGACAGAGGGGGCCTCACCCCCTGCCTCTGCCCAGATGGACACAGCCCTGGTCTACTCCTCAAGTCTCCTGCCGTCTCTAGCCCGGCTTCCAACAGTCCTGCTGCTCTCCATGGCAGCTGTGGCTAAAGTTTTTAAATGATAAATCAAACCTCCATCCCCTTTTGCTGAGAACCCTCTCAGGGCCCTCTGTCACTCTTAGACCAAAACCCACAGTCCTCCTCACAGCTCAGAGGACCCAGAGAGGCCCTGCGTCTGTGGCCTCTCCTCCTGGCCTCCTTGTTAGTGTGTCCTTCAGGGCCTTTGCTCTTGCTTCTACATGGAACTCACTTCCTGTCTCCGCTTTTGAGTCTCAGTGCAGAGAGACCCCCACCCCCCCGCCAACCCCGGCCTTCTGGCTCTTGGGGCTCCCTCGTCATGTGAACTCTGCCCTGGCCAGGACGTCCTTGTCTAAACTGGGGACGGAGAGGAAAGGGTCCAGTTTGAAAAGGGTCAAGATTCGAATCTTCCAGGCCCGGAGACTCACGTCTAAGTCCCTTGTTCCCATGGGACCCCAGGCACGGGGGCATTTCCGGAGCCACCTTGGCACCAGGACCTCCGGACCAGTGCCCCCCTCCGGTCCCCAGGGACCTGTCAGGGCGGGGGCAACATGTCCCAGTCGTGGGAACGCACCCGATTCCGGCCGGGGATTAAAATTAGCCTGGGAAGTTAAATTTAGCAAGTCAAGTTGGAGCTAGGGGGCCGGGGCTGGGGCTCCCATGGGTCCTGGCTCTGCATAGTTGTGACTACTCAGAGACACAGACCAGAGAGAGTGGAGGGCACACCTAGGGTCACACAGCAGGCCGCATATGACAGTGTCTAACACTCCTGGGCCCTGGGACTCTGAGGGTCCTGCCCAAACTCCTGAGACTGGAATCTGGGAAGCAGGTATGGCTGCTCCTGGAGATGGACCCACATTTTCCTCCACTTCCCAAGAGCTCATTCCCAGGCCTTGTATCAGGTGCTCTGCATTTTATACCCAGCCCAACCACAGAACAGCAAACTGAGGCCTAGGGAGAGGCCTCCCTTGCTGAGGAGTGCCAAGTGGGTCAGAGGCCGTCTGGGACCTGAGCACAGGCCCACCTACCTGACCCCGGGCACGCCACTCACCTGAAGCCTCAGTCACCCGTGACATGAGAGGGGCTGGGAGGTCATGTGGTCATAGAGTTGGTGGAGGGGGTCTTGGATGCCGTGGAGTGGCTGTAGAGTGGGGTGAGTGCCCCACTATGGGCAATGTGACTCCTTTGTTCCCAGCACCCCTGCTGAATGGGGAGCACTGGGGAAGGCCTACCCATTCTCACCCTTGAGCACCCCTCCAGGGAGATCCAAGGTCCTCATGAGAACGTTCCAAGGTTTCTCTCAAGCAGAACTCGGGCCCAAACCCTTGTCTGGGCTCCAAACTTGAGGTCTTTTCTGGTTGTCCAGACCTCCTCCCACCTGTTACATATAAATCAATGAATAAATAGGGGTGCCTGGGTGGCGCAGTCGGTTAGGTGTCTGACTTCAGCCAGGTCACGATCTCGCGGTCCAGGAGTTCGAGCCCCGCGTCGGGCTCTGGGCTGATGGCTCAGAGCCTGGAGCCTGTTTCCGATTCTGTGTCTCCCCTCTCTCTCTGCCCCTCCCCCATTCATGCTCTGTCTCTCTCTCTGTCTCAAAAATAAATAA